GACGATTACCAAAGAAGCAGCCATTTTAAATGTGATTCCCGTATTCTAATCAAGATCGATGGGTCCAAATCAAGATGAATCTTGAACAAGATGAGCCAGAAGATCCCCAGGATTTGTGAGCAGGAATATATATTTTTCCCTACTTGATGAAGCTCTAAGGACTGACATTTGGGAACTATTAGCAGCTGTGTTTTATTTGCTTTTCGTAAAGTGCCCAGTAACAGTTCACTACAAGGCACCTACTTAACTAACCTGCCGAATAATCCCTTATATGTTCTGCTCAGGGACAATTCATGGAGAAACTTTTTAAATTTTTCTAGGTCAGCCATCTCAGTAAATGATATTCCATCAAGTCAATGAGGCACACTATCCTCACAAAACCAGAGGAGTAAACCTGAAAATCATTATTTCCAAGATCTACACATTGACTTCAAATACTGTTCTGTATTAATTCATTACTTCTTTATTTACCTCAAAAGTCTGACTTGGTTGGCTTTGCATGGAAGTTGGAACAAAAACGTCATAATTGAAATTTCATGCAGAATCTATACGCCACAGAGAGTAATTGTGATAGGACGTTAACATTTTCTGACAGTTTGAAAATATAGCACCATCAAATATTAGATAGGGTATTTTCACAAAAGTGGTGATAGTGATGACAGGTTGAAAAAGATCCGTGAAAGAAATTACAAAATACATGACAGCACACAGCAAAATTTCTGCCCTGATGGCTGAAGGTAATGGCAGAAGTTAGTTAGAACTTAAGTAGATTGAAAGGAAATGTAATAATGACCAGAAATTGAATTCTTTCCAGTCCTTTTTACAGCCTTAAAATTCTAAACACTCATGGAATTAAGTCAAGTTTGACTTTAAGAAGAGGGATTTTACTTCAGTTCCCTGTATGGACCAAAGGGCATCTCAAAAACCATCAGCAGACCTGTAGCTCTATAAAGAACAATAGCCTATAACGTAGTTAAAACATTAAAGTATTTATATGTATATGGATCTATATCAATACATATCTATATATGAAGTACATATGTTCATATGTATGCATATATTAAAAGAGAAAGAGAGAAGAAAAGTAAGAGAAGAGAGAAAGAGAAAGAAAG